CTCCCAATAATTAAAAAACCCTAAAACGGTGACGGTAGACGGTAAAATTGTATAACCTATCACAAGGACAATTATGTAAAAAGGTATTGTAGTATTTATCGTGCTATTTTATCTTGTGCATTATCTACTTTTGTATTTGATATGTTTTTGTATTTGATTTATCATTGTTCACACTGAGATTTAATTAAATTGAGATTTGAGATGAATTTATCTTCATGAATTCAAAAAATTTATTCATTCTTAATTTCTTAAATACTGCATTTAATAAAAATATATTTCCTACACTATAGTATATGCATTTCTGAACCGTATTGATATTTATTGCAACATGGTTTAAGTTTTAGGCCAACAAAATAAATTTTTATTCCAAATCTGGATATGAATTTATCATAGTGAGGGATAGAATTAAGGAGATGAAATTTTTAATGAACTTGAAATTGAAGGAATATATTTCTCAAACTGTAAAATGTGCTGACGGAAATGCACTTAACTTGAATGTTTAGGGGAAAATGATTTGCTACAGATGCTAGCGATAGAGCTTCTCATATAGGAAAATTCCTTTAATGTCCACAGTATAGCAAGGGTCCGCTGTGAAAGATATTGCCATGACTACAGGCTGTATAACGACGCCACAAGTACATTTACTTTACATTGATATTCTGTCCAGGCACATCCGTTTCAAAGGGACTTTCGGGAAATGTGTATACTGTGTGGTGTTAAAAACTGCAGTGGGCTTCATACATGGCTGTGGTTTCTCAGGTGCACAAACGAGTGCATATTCAGTGCATTGTAAGTGTTTATGCGTGCAAGTCTTACTTCACAGTTTCCATGCGGTATGTTCTTTTTGGCAGTAGTACGTCCTCAATACAAGGGTGAAAGACTGTGCAAGCTTCCGATTCTTTTTTTTTTTTTTCTAAATAATGACAATCATTGTTTGATAACGTGCTAATTTAAAGGAAAACCATCTAAACAATGAACAGTGTTGATGTACTGTGTGTGGGAAACAGCAGCCTTTTTATTACGGAAAAGGTTTGTTCTGCCTTTTCCTTCCTGAAATGCAAGAGGCCAAGGTCTCGCTCCTGTCATTGAATTAGTGTCAGTGTTTGGTTAAGGTCACCCTGTGTTGCAGGTGGCAAAATTATAATGTCTGTTTCCTGGCAAAGCATTTCATTGAGGGGGGAAAACAGCTTGTTTCCTTTGTGAGGACATATGGACACATTCATGCTCTTCTACATGATCTAATAGCCTGTGGCTGTTCTACTGTGTGTAACTCTATTCCCCTGTCTCTCTTACCAGCTGGATAGAACAGACAGTCACAGTCTTCTGTTATGTAAACCTGATCAGAGTGCTTACAATTAGTCAATTTGCCTGACTTTTTTATTGAATGTTTTTAAATTCTGTGTACAGGTTTATTATTATTATTTTTTTATAATTTATGAAAAAAGATAATTAAGAAGTTTAACTTCTTTAAAGATATTATTATAATTGCATAACTCTTAGCATAAGTTAAGGCTATACGTTATCTTCAGACATAAATATTTTATTATATAGATTTTTTGAAAATAAGTTATATTATCACTCTCCTTTTTCTCAGACAGACTTTTGCTGAGTGTCTTTTCTCAAATGTTTTTCAGATTTTTGTGCAATTAACAGTTTTCCTCACTCACCTCTACATGTCAGTTGCACCTGTAATGTCTGAAGTCCTCACACACTTGAAATTTCCATTTGAGAACGAAATCAGAGTAATATGCAGAGTTCAGTCCTTTCATTCAATAAAACGCAGGATCATCTGATTACTGGAAGAGATTGAAGTCACAACAGAATTTCTTGTAAAGGTTGACGTGCAGTATTTCATTAGCTCAGTGCCTTTTGCCTCTTTGAATCGGAATGAATTAATTCATTTTTCATTTTGCACACATGCCCTCGGTTGCACCTGTCATCCTCTGCTGCTGACTTCACACTCTCCGTTGCCCAGAGAAACGGTAACTGTTGCCATGGAATCACAACGTAGCCTTGTAGTATTTGTTTATTTACGTGATTTTTTTTTATGTAAGCATAAGTGTGATGCTGGAAAAGGCCAGCCTGGGGAGGACTGAGAGACTCTCAAACTCTTCAAGGTTAATGAAGTGTGCCTTTTTTCAATGTAACAATTTCTCATATCACATACAGAGACGGCTATATGTCACTCTGAAAAGCATATACCTTGTGATTATGTGGTGCTATTAAAAATTGTTTGTTGAGCATCATGACCATCCCAACAAAGCAACATTGGCTCAACCAATGGCATGAGTTTTGGGGGCGAGGTTTAGGAAACAAGTGTTCATTATTTTTTGAAAATATTTAGAAATCTTTTCCATAAACTCCATCCATGTTTTCCAAACACTCCTTTTACCCTTCATACCCTTCGTTCTGTATGTGTGGCAGTTTGGAGATCCACATCCTGTCTAGAACTCCACCAGCCCTTCGGGCTGAGTCACATGGATGACCATTTTATGGATTACTGTGGATGGGCCTGAGGGACGGGCCCCTTGCATTGCCGCCAGGAACTGCAATGAACAACAGGACCACCATTATCACCACCTGTATTACACTAAGTGTCAGTTACAAGTGTGCTCCGGTCCCTTCTGGGAAATCTGATGTATCTTTACTACAAACAGACTAGCTAGAAATGCACCTTTTTTTCCAGAAAACATTTATTTTTTAATGTGCTGCTCTCGCTTGACATTTAAAGGGATAGGCTAGATTACACAAAAATGAAAATGTCATGTCGTTCCAAACATGTAAGACTTTCTTACTTCTGAAGAACACGAAGATATTTTGAAAAATGTTTTGACTTTTTGTCCATACAATGAAAGTCAATGGGGTCCAAAACAATTTATGGACAAAAAAAGACTGAGACATTTTTCAAAATATCTTCTTTTATCTATTAAAGAAAATAGAAAGTCATAGAGGTTTGGAACAATAGAAGTGATTAGTACTTCTGAAGAACACAAAGATATTTTGAAAAATGTTTTGACTTTTTGTCCATACAATGAAAGTCAATGGGGTCCAAAACAATTTATGGACAAAAAAAGACTGAGACATTCTTCAAAATATCTTCTTTTATCTATTAAAGAAAATAGAAAGTCATAGAGGTTTGGAACAATAGAAGTGATTAAATGACAAAATTTTCATTTTTGGGTGAACTGTCCCTTTAAATTGACTTGAGCGTTTCTTGAAAGCAAGCATGTGATTTCACATGATGTTTACAGCTAAATGTGTTGGAGAGTTTCTATAAACAAACACTCTTAGGAGCATAAGCTGCCATCCTAAATGTCTTCCAGAGACGCAGAAGTGTGACCGAGAGTTAGTCTGTCATTATCAGAAGGATGCCGTGGGACAGCGAGTGCTTTTCATTAGCCAACTTTTCATCCTGTTATGTGGTAAAGGAAAAGAGGCGTGATGGCCTGCATTTAAGGTCCTGTTTGCCTTTAAAATCTATGAGAGAAGGATGAAGGAGACTGGCGATGAGAGATTTTTCTACCAAAACAGTCAGCCCTATGCTGACGCACAAAATCACCTCACATGCTAATAAAAGAATCAAAGAGAAAGATGGAATGAAAAAACAACAATAGCAGAGGTGGCAAAGGTGAAAACGCTCAGGATAAGTCTTTAGCTGTGTCCTGTTGCTGTGGGAGACCGTCGGAGACAATAGCTGTAGTGACAGGTAATTTAACAGACACTGGGGCGGAGTGAGTCGAGCGCACTGTTAGCAGATCTCCTCACTGCTACTGCTGCTGCCGCTGCTGATGAGAAGTGTTTTACAGAGCTAGAATTAGAAACAGTCAGTGAGTGGCAGACTGTCTTTCTCCAGGGGAGACTCTTCTAAAACTGTGCAAATCAGTGATGAAGATAATATTTATAATTCTCTCTTAACCCTCTGCTTCTATTTGTATCTGCTTCTCAGCAAGCTGAATGAAGATTATGGATAATGTGCCTATCTACAGTTCACCAAATATACTGTTGACTCGCAGAGACGGTCTAAATGTGGATATATCAGTGGGCCTCAGCAAACTTTCAATGGGGCTTCAAGATGAAAGATTAAAATAATTTAAAATATGACCAAACAAGCATCAAATTATGTTAAAACAACTAAAAATCAAGATATTTCTTATTTTAATTCACCCCCTCAACTTTTTTTTTCTTTAAAGAATCAGGGTTCCCGCTCATGGAAAAGTCGTGTAAATTAATAAAATCATATAGCTGTATTTTTATAATGAATATAAATTTTTCTGGTTATACCAAGCTCTATATTTTACTGAGTAGAAATTGTTAGTAAAAAATATTTTTTTAATTTTTCGCCCTTAATCCTTGTCCAGTAAATAACGAAAAACTGGAAAAGTCATATTGTTGTTGTCGATAATGGGGACCCTGGAGTCAAAATGTTGGGAAACACTGCTTTATATGTATATACAGTGCAGGCTGAAGATTTGCAGTCCTACATTGATAATGACTGAACGTTTATAAAAAGTTTCGCTATATTTACGTGCAGTAAATGCAGATATAAATCATTACTTTGAGTTTTGTGTTTCTGATTTGATAGTTTTGTGTGCATGTTTGTGTAGAAGGCCTCCCATCCTTTCAGTTTTAGCGCATAGTCTGTATGCACTGCAGGGTAAAGTGCTGTTAAGATCTCTTTGTAAAGCCTCTGAAAATGTATCTATGACACTTCTCCTGTTTTTTTCTTCTTTGATGTGATGCTTGCTAAACCATTTCCAGTAGACAGTGTAGTATGTGGAGTTTGACTTGACATTGTTGTGTGTGTTTGTCACTGAAGATGAATGTTGAGTCTCCAGTCAGAGTTATAGACAGAAAGGGGGTATAAACTTACAGGAATTGAACTTCAAAAAATGAACATAAGTGTGGCAACTATACAAATTTGCCCCACACCACAGTGATTCCATGTTATAAACACTAACTTTTTTCCCTCTGTATCTCTCTCTATTTTTGTAAATCAACAGGCTTTTCTCCAGAGAATAAGGCAGACTGCAGAAAACCAACAATGTCTCACTCCAGAGCAGGTCAAGGTAAAAAAAAAAAAACCTTTACATGCAGTATTATTATTTAGAAGAAATACAGTGGCTACAATAATACTTGGACACTTAAAATCAAGTGTTTAAGATCAAACCATGTGGAAATAAATGATCTTTCTTTAAAATGAATGCCAGTTAGGTTTGATATTTTTTTACGTTTTAAAGTGTGGCTTAGGTGTCTGAATTTTTTCTTTTTTTGGAGAAAAGTGTCAAGAGCATTTGCTCATGCAGAAACATTTTTTTTTTTAAGTGATTTTCTTAAATATTGTCTCGTTCTTTCACTCAGATCTTGTTTTCCAACATCGAGTCAATTTTGGAAGTCCATTGCGAGTTTCTTTCGACTCTGGATGCCAGTTTGCAGCCTGAACCCCAGGCGCATCATTCTCTCGGACATGTGTTCCTCAAGTTTGTGAGTCCATGAGATTACATTTGAAATCATCTTTGAACTAGTGCTCTTCTGATTAGCAATTGATTTATTATGATTTTTGAGCTTATTAGTCATGCAAACCATTAACATGTTATTCCCAATCCATCCATTGCGGGATCGTTCCCAGTATCCTAGATCTGTATGCAGTCACCTCCTCCATTCTCTCAAAATACTGTCAGCCCCGAGACTACCTCCCCTCCCTGTGGTCTTTCTAAAAAAAAAAAAAAAGTGTTTCAATGTGTAACCTGTCGGACATGTGACCAGTAGTTCAATAAAAGTGTAGAAAATGCAGTTTCACTCAGAATTCCAATTTTAGCAACAAATGTTCAGTTCAAACAGAAGAAAGAAATGTATATAATGATTTTAGTTAGCAGCTCTAGGGGTTTAGTAGAAGGTCTGTCTGCTCCACTTTATTTAGGATATCAGTCCAAAATCACTGCATGATAATACTTGATCCATTTTTAGTCAGTTGGTTTGTTACATTTTTCAGTTTCTGAAAGGCTTGATATGATATTATCAGGGTTACTATTCAAGTATTTTTATTAGAATTTTTGGATATTGAATTAAAAATACTGAATGGAATATTCAGATTTTTCTTGTGCATTAATGTTGCAACTTTATGGAAACATTGGTAATGTTGTCTAAATAGCTGTCTTCAATTCTAGCTTCTTTATCCATATAAACAGTTCTGTATAAATTAAAATACTTTTCCCTCTATGGAAATATGGTAGTGATGATGATTTGTGATTTGAACATTGATTTAATTCATTTCTTAGTGTTGGCTGTCAGCCATTCACATTAATTCTGGCACTTTAACTCTTTCTATGGTTCTCAAAAGAAGCCATTTTGGGTTTGGCATCTGTATGTGACCTTCGACCAAGTTCACTGAAACATTCTGAGGTTTTAACCTCAAACTGGAGTGAATTTCCTCTTAATTGGACTCACTGTGTATGTGTATGTGTTTTTTGGATGAACGGTGCTATGAAGCATATGCCAGGACAAGATGTTCGCCTCGTTCATGGATGAGGGTGTGTGATGCTGCCAAACTCTGTCATTACAGGTGCTGAGGTCTGGAGCCCTGAGGGCCCAACCAAAGTACTGACACACACACACACACACACACACTGTATACACACTAATGCAAATGCCAGACCCTCTCTAGACATATACACAGACAAACATGTACAGACAACACACACAGACAAATAAAGAGGGTAAATGGAGAAAGCACGAAAATGGAGATGTATCATAAAGAGGAAAACAAACACAACTACTGTCCAACCACACAGTGCCTGTGGAATCCCAGTATCGGTTTCCTGCTTTGTCAGGATGCCTCAAGCACCCTCATCCGTCAGGATTCACAGCGTCCCTGTCAAGGTTACAGTACCTACACAGTCTGTTCCTGTGGAGCTCGGATAAATGACATCCTACCTTCACCACATGCATCTTTAATAAACTCTCACCTCAGCCCTGATTTGATCCAGATGAACAGTTCTTCTGGACTTTCTGGATTTTATTTTATTATAATTTTTTTTTAAAGGTTAGTTGAACCATATTGTGAAGGAAAAGCAGTTAACCAGTGTCTTACAGTACTCTTTAAAAAGTTTGATGTCCGGAGTGTGCAGATTTGGCCTTATTAATTAGTCATTTATTATTATTATTATTATTATTATTATTATTATTATTGGCCACTACATAATACTTAAATTAGTTTTGATAATTTAAAATAGTAATAATAATGACTAGCTGTCAAACTTTTAAATGGTAATGTAGTAGAGATTTGTTGTAATTACTGCATGCTGGGATTAAAGGGGTCATATGATGCGATTTCAAGTTTTCCTTTCTCTTTGGAGTTGTCAACATATTCTGTTACACCAAATACACAAAATAATGATCTTTAAAAAAGCATCATATGACCCCTTTAAACTTTAAGGAAAAGCAACTTATCTTTAAGCTCTTAAAATCATAAAAGGTGTGCACTGCTCACTTTTAAATGTCTGAAGATGAGTTGCTTTTCTTTCTTTTATTTATTTATTTATTTATTTTTGCTTGCAACTTCTTATTTCCACCTAGCTTTGCACCCCACAGAGAAGGTGTGGCTTTCAGGCAAAATCTATGCTCTTTTATTTCACTTCCTGTGCTGTTTCTGATAATGTAGGGCCGAATGACAGTGCCTTGTTGCTTCTTTAGCAGTTTCACTACCTGAATTCACCCCTTTATGTCACTTAGCAGCTCAGTATTTGAGAGAATGGTTAAAGGAAGAGGTTTACTGAGCTATTCTAGAGGTTAAAATATTTATTATATGTTTAGTATTTTCCATGTCAGCTGAGCGGGGATTTCGCTGAAATTCACAGGGCCTTTTTATGGGTGGATCAAGGGGCCTGCCAGCCTGGGACAAAGTTTGTCCCTGAACATGAGATTTATAAATGGGAATGTGAAAAAATATACCTCCTTTCTAACAAAAAAAGTATAAATCTGTTTGTAGGGTCGAACCCCCACCAAAAAAAAGAAAAGAAAGAGTTTGACTCCAGAATGTTTTTGAAGTGTTTTGACTCCTCTCTCTCTCTACTGCAGAGGGACCGTTTCTCTGTGTATGGCGAGTACTGTAGTAACCATGAGAAAGCTCTCAGACTACTGATGGAGCTTAACAAGATCCCTCATGTACGGACTTTCCTGCTGGTAAGCACCTTTCCTTTTCAAAAAGTCCAGTCTATTTTATTACATCATATTCTGATGAAGATCCCTCACACATCCTGTGATCGTCCTGTGACAGATCAGTTTCATATATGAAGCCCTGCAATAGATTTAATTAGTGATTAAAACAAATAAACATTAGTGGCTAGAAGAACTTGTCACAGGAAATAGATGCATCTCCAAAACTTATTGAAGTGAAAGTGACACCCAAACTTTTTACTGTACAAATCAGGATGTGAGAGTGTGCCTTTCAATGCTTTCTATGGAAACCCACTGTACAGTCAACATGAATCAGTTTAATGGGATATTGTGCAAATGAGATCATGTGTTTGTTTTTTCAGCACCTCATGTTGTTAGGTGGAAAGAAGAGCACAGATGTTCCTCTTGAGGGGTATCTCCTCTCACCCATCCAGAGGATCTGTAAATACCCTTTGCTTCTGAAGGTACTGCTTCAGTACTGCATTTTTCCACTATGGCAATTTACAAGCATGTGCATTATGAGTTGATTGTTTATTTCTTATATATATATATATATATATATATATATATATACGCTACTGTTTCTTAAGGAAAGTTGTTTAAAATAATATAACTATTGGGGAATGGAGGTGTACATTTATAATTACAAAGACATCGACTTACTTGGGAATAAGATCATGCACGTATATCACAAAAGAAAATGGGGTCAATTTTGATTTACTGATGATTTAAATACTCCTTAATAGCCCCTTGTGGACAGTATCTGAAGCATACCAGCAGATAGTTGACGTGTAAGTGTGTAACACAAGGATGTACCTGCTGTTTGTCCTTCAGGAACTTTTGAAGAGGACCTCTAAGAAGCATTCAGATTACCCCGCGGTAGAGAAGGCTCTGCAGGCCATGAAAGCCGTGTGCTGCAACATCAACGAGACCAAGCGACAGATGGAGAAACTAGAGGCTCTTGAGATATTACAGTCACACATAGAGGGCTGGGAGGTGAGTTAGACACATGATCGGTCATTGTCATAGATGGTGTTTTTTTTTTCCCTGTTTGATGGTTTTAAAGGAACAGACCAGCACCAGTTATTTTGGTTTAATGTTTCTTTAAAAACCTCTTTGTTTTGGGGAAGTTCCTCTTTGACAGTATGCTTTGTGTTTATGAGCATTTTTAAGCGTAGCCTCGAAAGAATCACTGATGTGGACATGATCAGTGTCGCCTTGTCTTCTGATGACATTTTCTTAGGACACATCACAAGCAGGAAGAGGAAGTCTTAACACAAAGGCTCGTTACCATGGAGATCTGATGGTTTAGTTAAACATGCAACATGTGCCACCACAAACTCCCCTCCTCTCTCTCTCTTTCTCTTAAGCACTTCTTTGCTTGTCTTTTTTTGCTTGTCTCTCCCCGCCTCCTTTTTTTCCGTCATCTTCTCTATACCATAGTTACTTTGTCTCCATCCTCTTTTTCTCTCACTCTTTGTATGTCCATTAACCCTCTTTATTGATTTATCCGATGCTCTACTGAGTGGTTGTACAAAGTGGGTCATTTTCTATAGTTGGCGGTGCATTCAGTTTAGTGCATACAGTGCATTCTTGCTCCTGTTGTTATTTTCCAATCCCATCATGCCTCTGTGAACATTCAATATCCCTGCAAAGCATGACAGGATGGGGATTATTTAACATACTTTAAAATTTGTTGATAGGAATAGTCTGCCCATAAAAAAATAAAATTGCCATTATTTATTCAACCTGATGTTGTTCCAAATCCATATTACTTTCATTGTTCTGTAGAACACAAATAAGAAATGTTAAAGACTGTGCTGGACACATTTATATTTAACATGTAATAAGAGTTAATGTGGGCTGTCAAACTATAAAATGACAAGTAGTGGTTGACCGATATATCGCCAAGGCCGATATTTGGCATTTTTTAAATATCGGCATCGGCCGATTAGTTTTCCTGTTTGGCCGATGCGTTCGTGACGGGATTTTTATTTTGACGGCGCACACAGTGCTCACATTCTCCCTCTTGTTCGCTGTTGTCGTTAACAGTTCTGTCTAATACGGATAGAAGTCTGTCTAATAATCATCAGATAGAACGGTTAAACAAAGTAATTAAAATGTATACAAAAAGTATCATAATGATTGCTTTTATATTATTAGTAATAGAAAGGCAAACATTATAATACTTTCT